AGAAAAAAAGAAATGGATAAAAAAGATGTGGTATGTTTATACAATGTTTATATACTCAGCTATAACGAAGGATAAACTTGGGACTTTTATAGACAGATGAATGCAACTTGAGGTTATACTCATAAATGAAACAAATTAGCTTCACATGTGTAAACACTGTATTCTCTCTCTTGTTGGAGAAACTAAAATAGTAAACAAAGTATAAAATGTACAACAGATATTATAAAATGGAAAGACATTGTTGATAAGGAGAAAGGATGTAGGATCTGGAAAAGGGGAAAGGACAGCAGAGAAAAGGGAAAATGCAAGTCAGTTACATTATTAGGGTCTCCTAGTTCATTGAAAAGGAAGGTTTGCTCTAATATTGATTGGAGAAAATTTTAATGCCTATATCTTGTACTCTGAATAAATACTTTAAAGATAATGATATGTAACATATTGATAATTGTTATTCTCTCATTTTTGTTATGAAATTTTGTTATACCTTTTTACCATAAAATAAAAAAAGAAAATTACATACAGAGAGAGTTTGGAAACCATATATCCAAGAACTCATGTCCAAGATAAAAAGTTCTCAAAATTTAACAATGAAAACCAACCCATTTAGAAAATAAGACATTCTTCTCCATTGCTGCTGGGAATGTGGACTGGTACAACCACTATGGAAATCAGTGTGGAGACTCCTCAAAAAACGAGGACTGGAAATCCCATTCAATCCAGCTATCCCCTTCCAGGTATTTTCCCAGAAGAACTGAAAACATCATACCACAATGATACACATGCACCCATGTTTATAGCAGCACAATTTGTCATAGCCAAATCTTGGAAGCAAGCAAAATGCCCATCACCAGATGAATGGATGAAAAAGATGTGGTATTTTTATACAATGGAGTATTGCTCGGCTATAAAGAAAAACTCAAAGACTTCATAGGTAAGTAGATACAACTAGAGGCTGTGAAATAAACCGGACCCACATGTATAAATATCATATTGTCTCCCAACTGTAAGAACCCAAAAGAAGAAATAAAACCAGAAAGGTATAACAGATATAGTAAAACAGAAAGAAATGGAACTTAAGGATTAAACAATGAAGAGGAAAAAAAGGAGAAAAGATAAGAAAAAAGTAAGGGAAAACATGCAATATATATATATATATATATATATATATATATATATATATATGTTGAGGTGATTGTACTAAAAATCTCAGTTTTTTGAAAATAGCAGTTAATGTGTAGAATTTTCACCTTGACTAACTCTGTATGCTGATATCTGTGATCTAAGCAACTACATCGGTGACAGGAATGTGTAATACAAAAGCCATGCAGTACCTGTCATCTTGGTCTTCTAAATGTGTACTGTTTCTAATGTCATATCAATTATTACTATACTCTCTTAAAAACAATTTTTTTTTTTGTATTTTGAGAAAAGCCTACAGGGTGTTCAGGGTCTCACTACTAGATCAGACTCACAGTGATTCTCCTGTTTATAGCCTCCTAAGTGCTGGGATTACAAGTGTGCGCCACCACGCCTAGTCTCAATTGCTGTCTCAACGTGCCTTGGAGTCGGAGCCAGCACGGCAGGCCCGGTTATCAAACCCCCGGCCCCTGTGCCTGTTTACAGGTGCTTTAATCTGCTGAGCTATTTGGCTGGCTCCAAGATAATTTTTTTTAAAAAGGTAGAAAAAGAAAAAAGAGAGATAAGAACAAACATTTAAGGCTTTTGAATGCAGCCATATGTCCAATCTTACATAACTATATCTGTTAATCTGATCAACAGATTTGATAATAAAAATAGATAATATATCAACCATTGTTAATCAGCTATTCTTTGTTTGAAAATCTGTAACATATGTATCATTGTATGTTACCCTGTTTCTGTTTCTGATTTTTGTTCTTGCTTTGGTTTTACTTTTCAAAATTAAATTAGAAAATAAAACATTCAAGCCAAAAGGGTATGGGTGGGGGCCAGGGAGATGGCTCAGTAGAATAAGTGCTTCTCTGGCAAGCACAAGGGTCTGAGTTCAATCCCCGGTTCTGCCAAAAAAAAAAAAAAAAGGGTATGGATGGCAAACAGGTAAATGAAAAGATGTTCAACATCGCTAACAATTAAGGAAATGCAAATTAAGAGGAGAAATTGTTTTCTAAAACTTAAAATAGAGAAATAAAAATTTATATTCTAGAGAAATAAAAATTTATATTCTCAGAGAATATTGTACATAATGTTCTATACCCTGGATTACTACTGTCTAATAAAAGGTACAAAGTATTGATAGACATAGTAATCTCAAAAGATTAAATAATGTAAAATTTCATTTATATAACATTCCAAAATTACAGAACTATAGAGATGGAAAGCAAACTAGTTAGTTTCCCAGAAGTTATGGATGGTGGAGGAGCAGTATGTTGTATATGAGTATACCAATCAATGATAAGAAAGTCAAGCTTTCTGACATTCAGTTTTCTATTCCAATTTTAGTATATGTGTTGCCGAAGCAAGCACAAGTTTTCTATTCCATTGAGTGGTCTATATCAAATTTCTAGCACAAACTTTAGCCATTTGTGTATCACATTACAAACTTTTGGGGCTGTATCATTTATGCCTGTTGTATTACTTAATATTTTTCACAGAGATCAGTGTAGTTACCACTTAAATATAAATCAGCCCCAGTCCTGAGTAATGTTATCTAGAAATTGCCAGATGAAGGGTTAGTGATTTTTTAAGTGAAAATTAAAATTAAATCATCTACTTTACTGTACTACCGAAGCCATCATCCTTACTGCCTGTAACATGAGCTATACATTTCTGGAAACATGAGTTTAGCCAAAGTATTTGCTTTTCAGATGGAGAAAGGAATGTCCAATACACGGAAATTAACTTTCAGATTCAGAAAAATCACTTACATGCAGAGCAAAATCCTTATTCTACACTGAAAACATTCCAAAGTCTCCAGTAGGGCCCTACAAGAGCTGACACGAGGTGGCTCTGCTTGCCTCTGGGCTTTCAGTTCCTGTTATTCATTCTCTCATTTACTCTGTTCTAGATACGCTTGACTTTTTGCTCTTCCAAGGACACCTAGTGCCTTCCTGCCTTGGAGGTTTGCTCTTGTTCTTTCTGCCTGAAAGGCTCTGGTGTCCAGTTGGCACCATTCCTCAAAGGTTCAGGTTCTACTCAATGTCATTTTCTCATGGAGTCCTTCTTTGCTTGCCCTATTCAAAATATAGAGAGGGAGGAGGGAAGGGGGAGATGTGAGAGGAGAGGAGAAAGAGGCAAGAGAGAATATTGTATCACTCTCTGTGCCCCTTGGTATGCTTTGCTTTTCTTCATAGCACTGAGCACCACCTGACATGGTTCCTTTGCCCCTATTAGAATAGCAGGACTTTGCTTCCTTTCCTTTAGCCCAGGTCTTAGAACTGTGCTTGTGTGAAGATCGACATTCAGCTGCTCAGCAGTCCTCACTAAAGAATCTAAGGGAAGTGAGCATGCACATAGGGTCACGTTAGAGCACAACTCCCAGGAAATCCAACCATTTTTCAAATGGCTCCACTTGTCTTTTAAATTTGGCCCTCTGCAGCTTCCATGCAGGGCTTTTAGCTCTGTACCATATTCTACAGAATGTGCCTTTCAGATAATTGAAGATGGCAGCTATGACTCTTCAGCTCATACTGCTTTTCAGTCTGAACAGGTCTCTCGCTCCATCATCACTTGGACATAATTCCCTGGGACCATAGCAAGTGTATGTTCTACAGGCAAATAAGCAAGGTCTGAATTCAGACCTCTTTCTACAATACTGCATAGTCTTGAGCAAATAACATCTGCACCTCATGGGTCTGACGAGGGCTGACAGAGCGACAAGTTGAGTGGATGGCATCCATGCCTACTGATCCCTTGAAGAAGTTCTTGCCCAGATCCTAAGGATGAAACAAATTTCCTGAATCTCTGACTGAGTTTGCTGCCTTCCTATAGGAAGAGGACAGTAGTGGACCAATTCAAAAGTATAAAAGGACCATGAGGCCAGGTCAGACCTTTTTGGTGGAGAAGCCCCAGGAAATATTTTGCTTCTAGGTGGGCTGGAGTCCATAAGGTCCTAAAAATGGTCAATAGTAAGGATTTCAAGTAGGAAATTACAACAAAATATAAAATTTATAAAAGCTGCAAAGTATGATGACATAGTTATATGTACCTAGGAACATGCCTAAACAAAACTCACTGTTCTGATAACAAAAATACACTCATAACAAATATCTGTTGGGTTATGAGGGCTCTCCCTTATTTTGTTTCTTTTTTACTTATCATGTGACCCCAGAGAATTCTCTTCCACTCTATGGATCTGCATCTTCTTAGCTGGGAAATACCAATTCTAGGACCAACAAAGATACTAGTGTCATACTGCTATACATGTGCACATCTATTCAATGTTCTTCAGCACATGTTCCCTGAATGCTGTGGATATATGGAAATGACAGCCTATCCTGACCTTTGGGAGTCTCACTGTCTGTTGAAAGTTGTCTTTGAGGACACAAGCCTGGAGCAAGGAAAAGAGCTCTAAGGCATCATGATGAATATTGTATAGAAAGAAAGAAGCCTTGAGAACACAGAAAAGGAAGGTAAAGTGCCCATCGAAAGGGGATGAAAGGCTTCTTGGAGAGGGAATCTGTTCTGTACACAAAGCTACAGGCTTGTGCAGGACTCTTCCACCAATGCCTTCACCTTCCCAGAGGACATTTAGGGTAAAACCACAAACACAGGATGATCAGTTTACATTGCTGATCTGCAGGCTGACATTCTGGGTGGTGGAACCCTGTCCTTATCTGACTTATTGTCTGTGAGTCAGCTCTACCCCAGTCAATAAAACCCTGGGTACAGACCCAGCTTCCCCAGAATGTTCAGTATTCTGCCGGATCGCTTCTCAACCATCTCAGGACACGTTCAACTCTGGTTCCTGGTCTTAGCTGTCCTTGTGGTCCTGGCTCAGACATCCCCAGGTAACCAGAACTGTGGCAAGACAAGAAAAGGGAGTGAGGTGGGCTCTAACACATAGAACCATGGAAAACTGACTGTGTGCAGCAGTAAGAACACCACAGAGTGGCAGGAATCTGGTGAAAAGTCATAAGGTAAATGTGACATTAGCACCGGTAAGGTAGCTCAGGGCTGGAGCACTTGTCTCCAGGTGTGAGGCTCTCCCTCAGCACCAAATTAAAAAAAAAAAAACAGAAAAAAAAACTTTAAAAAGAATATGCCTTGTTAGACTAGCCTGCTACTCCCAACTATGAGTGTGCTTCTGAGTAGGAAGCCTGGAAAATACCAGCAGAAACAACATTGTCCTATACAATGTCCCTTCCATACATAGAAGCAGCCTCAACACGCCTAGTGTCCTTAATGCTTACTACCCAAATATCCAATAGTCTCATCCCAGTCCTACTTGATACTGCTTCTTGCAAAACTAATTTCATTACTTCATTTCTCCATTGTTGCTGGCTTTGAACACTCCTTTAAAGCTAGGAGTGGAGGAATGTTGCTCTTAGAGTATCTGGTAAAGATGTCTAGAACATTTACAGGTTTATAAAAATAAGTTGAAGGTGTAACAGCAGAAGATTCTGCACAACTGATTGAACATGATCAAGGCTTTCTAGCAACATGACAAGCTTTATGGATAGGTGGTGAATGACTTTCTAGTGGAATTGCTCTCCTTAGGCTTTTGGGGCCTCTGAAGTTTATGATTATAGGTCCCATGGTTTCCTTTTAGGTCATTGCTGTTAGAGTCGCATCCTATGTGGGATCAGTTCTGCAAGTGTAAACTCTTTGCCCCTCAGTTATTCTAGAACAAGAAAAATAAATGTTATACCTCAAACTCTTGTAGGGGGAACTGGAATAGAAGGTGGAGTTGAAGATTCAAGAGACATTTGGAGAAAGAATCAGCATCCTGGCTCACAGGACACTGGAGGGGAGAAGTAAACGTCATTAGAACTCTGATTTTTCATCTGAAAAATCAAGTGAGAATTGGAAGTCATTTCCTATAAGAAAATTTGGGGAAAGGATACATGGATCAAATCTATAATTGAAACCAAAATCTCTCATGTGAACCCAGTGTGCAGGGAAAGCTGGGTCTCCACGCAGGGTTTTGTTTACCTAAGCAGGGCTGAATCACAGACAGGCTATCAGAGAAGAGCAGAGAGCTACATTGCCCAAGATGTCAGCCTGTGGGTCAGCCCCACAATTTATTATCTAATATTAAGAAGCCTGCTGTAGACACATTAGGTGGCAAGCACCTAGAACAATGCCTATCCCGTAATACCTACTCAACAAACTTCAGCTTAAAGAGTAATGAATGGGAAGCTGGGTGTGGTGGCACAAGCCTGTAATTGCAGGGTGACTTAGAGATGATCTTTGAGACCATCCTGGACCACAAAGTGAGTTCATGACCATCTTGGACTACATAGTCTCTGTCTCAACACACCAATAAGAACAGCGAATGGTAAGGGAAAAACAGACAGTTTAAGGCCTAGGCCCCTTCCTTAACAAGCACCCAGATTTAGAGTGGAAGTAGAACTAGATCGTTAATGAGCCTATGCTTTTCCAGAAGCATAGGAATAAGACTCAGGTAGAGCTGATTGGAAGAAAGATGATAACTGCGTGTATCTGCTACATGTCAAGACAAACATAGACATTCTATGTATACATTTTCAAGAAAGCTAGTAGGTATCAAGATCAATGCTCACTCTAACCATTATTATTATTTTTTACCAATGTCTTCAGTATAATATCTACTCTTTCATGAATTTATATGCTTATCTATTTATTTTTTTCAAAATTTTATTGATAAACGGATAGCAATGAGACAGTTTCAAATCAAATCGGAAGTACAGTTTCAACAAATAATACACTGCATATATTCTTCTTAGTGGTTAATT